CTTCTTAATATGACCTACAAAACCTTGCATAATTTAGGATCTTGTTACCTCTCCAACCTCATTTCACAATGTACTCCTAATCTCTCTCCCTCTCTGTCTCTCTCTCTCTTCAACAATACTGGTATTATTTAAGTTTCTTTTTTTTAAATTAATTAATTAATTTTGGGCTGCGTTGGGTTTTTGTTCCTGCGTGCGGGTTTTCTCTAGTTGTGGTGAGTGGGGGCTACTCGTTGTTGCAGTTCGCGGGCTTCTCATTGCGGTGGCTTCTCTTGTGGCAGAGCACGTGCTCTAGGCACGCGGGCTTCAGTAGCTGTGGCACGCAGGCTCAGTAGTTGTGGCACGTGGGCTCAGTAGTTGTGGCTCACGGGCTGTACAGTGCAGGCTCAGTAGTTGTGGTGCACAGGCTTAGTTGCTCCACGGCATGTGGGATCTTCCTTGACCAGGGTTTGAACCCATGTCCCCTGCATTGGCAGGCGGATTCTTAACCACTGTACCACCAGGGAAGTCCTTAAGTTTCTTAAAAGTACCTTTTTCCTACTCTATGACCCCTTCATAGCAACTGTAGGGGATTTCTTATTTATTTTCCTTTTCCTAAATTTTTTTCCTCCCTTCAAAAGAGTAAAAAAAACAGTAAATGCCTATTCATTCTTATACATCTGTCCAAGAGTCTGTAGCTGAAGGAAGCTCAGGGGGCATTTTTAGAATTATAGACCTCTGCATTTTCACATTTGCAGTTTCTCCTTTATTTCTTTGATTATTTGATTAAGACCTATTTTCACTACTACTTCTGTGAGTTCCTTAATTGTAGCGTCCATATCTGTGTGTCTCACCCTTGAAAACTCAGCATCAGTGTATCTTAGGCATTAGGATCATCTAATTTCCTTCTTCTTCTTTTCTATCCATTAATGTATTCTTTATTTTAAGTCTCCTCAAAAAGATATGATAATATTTATTAAAAAAAAGAAATCTTTGGAAGTTTATGGATACATTCTTCTGGCATAGCAGGGATTGGCAAAGCACAGCCCACAGGGCAGAGCAG